GGATTCAATATGTATGGATTCCGTATATGGTCTACAATTCTTTGCTCGCAGCTTCGCTGCTTCCAATGTCCTATAACCTCAAAATAATACCTCCAAGCTTAGTTTAATAGCGTTCTGCATCTCGTCCGTGACGGTCGGTGAGTGTACCGCGAAGCACGTTATCCAGCTCTCCAGCTCGTTAGATCCCGAATCGACCATTCGTCACCCGCCACGTCGGATACTTGACTCTTGATCGGGCAGTTATCCGACCCAAATATCTCTTTTACCTAACCAATAAATATTTTTCTACCCATGTGTGGTGTACCTGCTATTCGATTGGTTATGATACGCTTTCCCGGTGGGGCCAGCGACCGAACCCACCTTCTCTCTCTCTCTCTCTCGACCCACACCTGGCTTCATATCTTGCAACTGCTCTCTCTTGCAAGGAAACGAGGGGAAAGCGGGGTGATAGATTTCCTCCCTTGTTCTCTTGGTTTGCTCCGTTTGGTGTCGAAGGTTGAGGCGGGAGAGACGGAGAGATTCATTCCGACGAGGTGGGAGGCACGACAAGGTAATGCGCTGTTCCGAATTCGCATCGGATGATTCGTTAACCAGCTCCTAAGATAGGGTTCCTCTTGTCCACTTCGATGCATCTTGTTCCTTTCCCCTTTCGCCTCGTACCGTCTAGATTTTGCTAAAAGCCCTGTCAAATCTGGTTTTGTACTCTTTCTTCCTTTGCAAGAACATTATATTTCGTTGGCCGAAAAGATGTTCTTTTTTTTTTGGGTAATTCCATTGATCTCAGTGGATCGGAATGAAGAGAGAATCTGAGTGGATCAGGATGTGCTGTTTCGAATGCGTTTCTTCTGATGTGTTGATTTGAATTCCGTGAAACTAGTTTAGTTGCTGTGAATTAGAAGAAGGCAAGCGAGAACATGGGGAAGAAGGCAAAGTGGTTTGGGGCCGTGAAGAAGGTCTTCAGCCCTGAATCAAGGGAGAAGAAGAAAGAGGTCCGGATTATGCCCTAACTCCTTTGCTTATCTGTTCTGTGCTACCAAATTGCTTCTGAGTAAAGAGAAAAAACTCGTCTTTGGTCTTCATTTCACCAGAGGTTGAAGAAGAAATTGGGAACGAGGACATTCAAAGCTGCAGATCCATGCCCCGCTGACTCGCTAGAATGTGCTGTTCCTCGCGAGGTACTTCCTCCACCGCAGACTCATCCGGAGGAGGATGAAGTAGTGGAGGGTGAGACTGAGCAGAGCAATCCTGATCCCCCTGTAGCACTCGCCACCCCTGCTGCAACAGAGCCTGTTGCTACTGTTGAGGCTGCAACAGAGATCATTCAACTTGCAGCCACTACAAAGTTCCCCGGCAAGACGAGGGAAGAAATTGCTGCAATCGAGATCCAGACTGCCTTCCGAGCCTACATGGTTTGTGGATTCAGTCCTCTCTCTTATCCATCCTCTACACAGGTTACAAATAAGCAGTATACGATGAAATTTAGTAGATGACATTTGTGACCAGTAGGATGATTGGTGTCGTTAAATATTGTCTTGTATTCCTGCATGATAGTTAAGACTAGTGAGCTTTTGGTGAGAACATTTGTTCATCTTAGATATAAAGGTCAACAAGGCAACCTCATTGTCTAATTTCCCAAGAAGCTCATTTGTTAGTGCAAGTTCATCCACCAGAAGAATTACAAGCACATTGTTTGCTGCTTTGGTTCATCTTCTTATATGCAAAAAATCATAGATCATCAGCTGCAGACTTCTCAATAAATCATTTGTCTGTTCAGCATCCTTTTCTTCATGTAGGTCTATGGACAACAGTATTTTCCTTATTTTGTACAGATATTGCTTTTTCCATCTTAAATCATCAGTTTTCTTGAGATTATGGTTCATCAACATAATGAGATCTCTGAAGGACTTCAGCAGGCCTTTGTGTATCTTGACCCAGATATGATTATTGGACTAATTTGCAACCTTTTTGCTTGGTTTACTGTCGATTACTGAATTATCCTTCTTCAAGATTACTGCTATGTAAGTCTTAACTTCTGTAGCTGGTTGAAGGACCTTGACATGTTTTATCATTTGGATTCTTATGTGAAGGCAAGAAGAGAACTTCGGGCCATGAAAGGATTGGTCAGGTTGAAGTCACTAATGCATGGCAACTCTGTTAAGCGCCAAGCCACGACCACATTACGCTCCATGCAGACACTGGCAAGAGTTCAATCGCAGATCCTTTCAAGGAGAATGAGGTTAATGGAAGAGAACCAGGTTCTGCAGCGGCAAATGCTGCTTAAACATGAAAGAGACCTCGAGAATTTGAAGGTAAATTTCTGGATCCAGATGTTGCTTTCATGTGTCAGAAGAACATGCTCGGATGAAAGACTCTGTCCTCTTCTTTATCTGTCTGATTTCTCTTGTTCTCTTCCCAAGCCATACTTGCATTGACTACCATTCAGCTACAAGAGAACACCATTCGAAGCATGTTGAACATCTTCACCCATCTATGTTTTGTTGAATGGCAGATGGGAGAAGAATGGGATGATAGTTTACAATCAAGGGAACAAATTGAAGCAAGTCTGTTGGGCAAGCAGGAGGCTGCAGTAAGACGAGAAAGAGCACTGGCTTATGCATTCTCTCATCAGGTAATTGGCCGTGGTCTAGCTTTCATAAGATTCTGCGGCTTCAAGTACTTCAAGCTCTTGAAAATTGCTTTGCCTCAGTGGAAAAGCACCTCAAAATCGACGAATCCAATGTTTCTGGACCCCAACAACCTACAATGGGGTTGGAGCTGGGTGGAGCGGTGGACGGCAGCAAAGCCATGGGAGACGAGGGGCACAACAGATAAAGAACTCAGCAACGGCCGTGCCTCTGCCAAGAGTGCCACTGAGAGCGATGCTTGTGCAGAAGCTAATCCAGATAAGCTCTCTCCAGCTGCCCGTAAACCCTCGACGGTACCACCTCCCACGAGAACCCCTCGGTTAACAGGGAAGACGAAATCTGCAAGCCCGAAACTTGGGTCGGCCTCATCGATCATCAGCATGCAGTCAGAGAGATCCAGGAGGCGCAGCTTGGAGACAGCAGCGGCAGCACCGGCGAGGGACGACGAGAGCTTAGCAGGTTCGCTGGCTGTTCGTAGCTACATGGCTCCCACGGAGTCAGCAAGAGCCAAATCCCGCTTCCAGAGCTTGTCAAACGACGATGCCGAGGCTCCAGATAAAGCTTCCATTGCTCCCGCGAAGAAGAGGTTGTCTTTGCCTACCGGAGATAGGCATAACGCAGCGCCTCCAGCTGCGATGAGACGGAAGTCGGGTCCTCCGAAGGTGGATGTGGCATCTGCGAAGGATGGAGCAGGCCCAGATTTGACCACGATAGAATCGACAGGGGCGATAACGTCGTTCTGAAATGAGAAGACGCAACTGTTACCTCAAATTTACTTTATGATCATGATTCAAATCATTTGAAGTAAAATGTTTGTAAGTGACAGCTTAATTTACCGTGATTTGTTCTTTTGTATGAACACACTTTGGCGATGAGGGGTTAATCTCGATCATGCATCGATGGTACGAGACATTTCCAATCCTGACGAGGGGTTCTGTTCCGAGTTGTTCTCTCGGCGCCTCCGTATGATGAGATCAAGAGGCTGGGCTATGGATTTGTTGATGAACTATGGATTTGGTTTCGGGGTTTTGAGGCTTCAGCCAGGACATGAATACTGCTTGCTAGGGCGGCTCTCGTCGGAGGTCGGATGGAATTACTATTTGACACCGTTGAGGTCAGATCAAATCGGCTCTGTGCTCTCCATGTTAAAAGTGCATCGGACAGAAGTTACTGGCTCTTCGCTGATCGATCTCTTCTCGTTCACAGAGAACGTTTTGAGACGTGAGACGGACATGCTAGTGCTTTAAAACTCGATAGCAAGATCTACAACACAAAGTTGCGTATCCACAGACTGCCTCCCCTTCGCCGCCCAAAACCATACCTCCATGGGTACCAACACAAGCATAAGACTCGACACCAAGGACACCTATGACACGGACACCATCCTACAGCACACTACGCATACGCTATTACCTACCTGTATCTAACACATTTATGGTAAGCTTCCATCAGCGGAAGATATTAGTCATCGTGCTTCCTGAACTTGGACTCGTCGATTTCGATACCTTCCCTCTGCGCACGCTCCCCTCCCGACTCCTCCGTGGTACTCAGCCCGCCTTTGCGCCCCATCTCATGATACCCTTCCGTCCCCATTTGCTCCCTCCTCGTCTGCCCTCCACGGCTCCGTCCTACACATCGACAGCATTGTAGTTTCATGGCATAACTAAATCGGAGAAGATGCAGAAAGAAACTACTACTGTTCAGTGATGGTACGAGCGTATGTAGTACAGACCTTCAGCGAGGCGTTCCTGTGCATCCAGGCTCTTCCCGCCGGTTCCGCCTGGTACGACGGTCTCCCCGCGCCTCGCCTTCTCGTCAAGCTCACGCCTTTCCTGCTCCGACGACATCCTTCCGAACCTCTGGTATCAACCCTCGTTGGACCTCTTGATAACGTTCAAACACCGCACGTGGGGCTTCGCGGTGGAGCGACGAAGCTCTTATAGAGCAGCGGGCGGTGGGGAATGAGAAAGCTAAGCGACACGTAGAATCGAACTTGGAGGAAGAGGAGGGCGTGAGGGTTGACGAGGCGACACGTTTGGCGCGCGAGACGGCCGCAGAGACACGAGTCCGCCGGCTTCCCATGCAAACAGGTGCAAGGTGATGTATGTGTCCGGGTATGAGGAGGAGAGTCTTCCTGTGGGAGTCGACATCGATTGTGTACGATCAAGTGGCATTTTGCTGTCCGTATATACGTCACTGTAGCGTATTAGTGTCTCCCATTTGCATAGTCCGGTGGCACAAATCATAATTATACCGTTTAACAAGATTAATTAGCAAGAAGAAGAGATGGTAAAGTACAAATGACCAATCCATGGGAACGCAAAGGCCTCCAAATGACATGCAAAACTAATTGATCTACTCGCGTGCTTCGAACTTAATGTAAGTCCACAGAGGGAGCAGTCTTAGTCAACGGAGACGCTTCAGATTGGTTGTAATAGTGAAGGGGAGGGGGAAATCCATCAACTTTCCAATCTTCTAGAAGACTACGACCTAATACATTTTTTTTTCTTTATTTTTATTTTTGAGGTGATGTGCGTAGATTTCATTAAATATAGATGTATTTGAACAATGTATATTTTAAATATAATTTAATATTTGATAAATATTTTTCAAATCATGTTTCATCTGAATGTTGTATTACAAATGCTTTGATGTTATCTTAACATTATCATTTTAATATTTATGAGATGCTAATATAATTTTTTAAATATTTAAAATATATTATGATATTATTTAAAATAAAACTAACATGATTCATGTCTTCTATTTTAAATATTATTATTTATTTATTTATTATAATTATAGGTCATATAAATTTTTTTTTCTAAGATTACACATATTTATTTTATTTACTTATTAGTTTAAGCAAAAAAATGTATTGCTTTTGAATAAATAATTAAAATATAAAAATAAATAAATTTATCATGTAATATTCAATGAACTTTTGAAACATGATTTTACCAAGCAATTTATCAGATACTTAAAAGTATTTTATAAATGACATTCACTCAAGGTACAATAAAAATATAAAAATATAGTCTCAAACATAACCTACAAAGCTTCTTTGCTGGTTGATTATTTGTCACGTCCGAAGGCAACGAAGAATGAATCCTCGCTATTTATGGTTTAGTCCGGAATTTGCTTCAGTGATTCTAATATTCTTTTAGATTACAATGCTTTTCAAGCTCGCTCAATCCACTCTCAAGCCAAACTTGTGACCCACTTGGATTCGTTTCATATTTATCTATTGCAAGTTTGACTCACAACAATACTTTAAAAACTGTGTTTGGACAAATCCTCATCTCCACGCCATAACTTAGCATCTTTATCCCACTTTGCTATTCTTTGCTTTTATTGTTTCTTATACTGTAATTTATCCATAAAAGACTCTGTATGTTTGGACACTGTTGCTGCTGTCGTGTCTTTCTCTTCTTTGATTTTCGCTCGTACACACTTTTCATTCAAGAATTTAGACAATCAAATGTCTTTCTACGTCTTTCTTTAGTTAATTGTTATAGATATCATATAAATTAATCACGTATGTATGATATTAAATATATATTTTTTACTTATTATATTATTTAATATTTTATCACTTCATATTACTTATATATATATATATATATATATATATATATATCGGATGATGATGAGATTACGATAATGAAATCGATTCATTTTTAAACACATACCCTAAATAATCCTGATCATAGATTACTCGAGAGAGACATCGAGATAACCAGATAGACTGATGTGATTGTATGGGGACATTAGGGATACAATGTAAATGCTAATTGAAGAATGAGTTTACTGATTGATCCACTCACGGAATGTTGGATGGTCGATGATACCTTACTATCAGACAACGATTCCGTAGTCCCAGTGATGCATATGGTCTTTAGACTTGAGACACCAAGGATGTTCTATATGAGTACTCCAATTTTTGATACTAGACTTATAGCCTAGAAGTTCTAGATCTAGTACAGTCGATCATCGATAGTGGTAACCAACTTTATGAGGACTATTGAGTGTCGATAAAGGATCATCTACTCTCGGCGTCATGAGAGGAATATCCTATGTGTTCTTGATCAGACAAATCCCTAGCTAGGGTTATTCGGATTGAGAGAGAAAGAGTTCATTGGGAGATTCCGATTAGAGCGAGACTTAAGAGTAAAAATTATTTGACTCTGATAGTACCATACCCAATATATGGTTTTTGAGGTAATAGAGGGTTGAGGGACTAAAGATACACAGTAATTGAGGATAGATAGGTTCAAAGGATTGGATTCCCTTGTATCGTTTGGGGGCTACGACGTAGTAGCCTGATATGTCCGTAGTCGATGAGTTAAGTGAATTATTATGAAGATAATAATTCACTGATCCAGAAGGTGTTCTAATAAGTATGACTCACGACCAGCTCGATATTGGACTTAGAGGGTCACATACATATGGTTGATATTGCGACGAGTAGAGGTTCGGATATGAGATATCCGTTAGAGCTCCTATTTTATTGGATATCCAATAAACCCCTGAATTATTGAATCATATAGATGAGATCCAAATAAGAGCTAATGAGAGATTATTGGATTGAGATCCACTAATTTAAGAGGTTTGGGTAATTCGATGAAGATCCAATACCAAATAGGATATGATCCATTAGGATTAATTTGATAGGAGACTCTATAAATAGGAGAGAACCAAATACTCATAGACTAGAGATTTCTTGGTTGTCACATCTTATTTTTCTCTTCCCTTCTCTTCTTCAAATAACGAGTTTTAAACAAGCAAAAATGAATAAGAAAAACAGAACATGATAACCCTATATGGGTAGGTAAAGACCAGCGGTGAAACCAGAGTCACAAGCAAGTGGCAAAGGACCAAACAATCAATCTAATGGACATTAGGCGAACTCCCGTATTCCCCCAATGTCATGAGACGGGACAAGGTGGGCGATCGACGGAGCTGCACAACATTCCAAACAAATGTGGTTGTAAAGTCATAATTTGCGGCCGACCCATGACAACTCCCCACGCCAGCCTTACGCCTATTTCAAACCCCTCATCATTGAAACGCGTTACTTTGTCGTTAAGCCTCCGCCATTGCTGAAATGTTGGTTTTGCTTCTGTAGCATACCTCGCAACACCATTTCTCACCTCTGCATAGGTCTGATCGGTAAATTGATTCAAAAGAATTCTGGTGTATTATTTATCTTATATTAATTATAATATTTTATATCAATTTTTAAATAAAATAAAACTTCAAATTCAACATTCTGTAACGATTTTTATTCTTAAACTTTTTATTTATGAGTAATTTATAAAATTTTATCCATTCTAATTTTGATTCAAATTATTATTATTTTTTATTTTCAGTAAAAATAATTCTAAAATAAAATATAATTTCAAATCAGTAGCAAAGTAACAAGTTCGGTTACAATTTCAACTGGAAACGATTACGACACCTCTCTACTCTCTTCTCTAATCATAAAAGAGAACCATCTACATTATTAAAGCAGACTATATCTCTGTTCATTTCAGTCGCGTCCTCCCCTCGTTCGGAGTCCCTGATGCGGTTAAACTCAGCTTCTCCTCGCCCCTCTCCCTCTCCCCATTCTTCCCTGCCATGAGTTCATCTTACAACCATCACCTCCTCCTCCTACTCCTTCTACTCTGCCTGATAAGGTCCTTCTCTACTGAGCTAATCACCGCCGCTCTATGCCTCCCGGAGGAGAGCTCCGCCCTCCTCCAGCTCAAGAATGGCTTCTCCAACTCCTCCTCAAAGCTCGCGTCTTGGCAGCCGGGCTCCGACTGCTGCCTCTGGGACGGCGTTACCTGCGACCCGGCCACCGGTGTTGTTACCGCCCTCGACCTTAGCGGCCGATCCCTCTCGGGCGGGCTCGACCGTAGCCTCTTCAATCTCACCTCACTCACCTCCCTCAATCTCGCCTACAACCTGTTCCGAGGAATTCGCCTCTTGGATTTTCCCTTCTCGAAGCTCGCCAATCTCGCCGTCCTCAACCTCTCCAACGCTGGGTTTGGTGGTCAAATCCCAGCCGGTATCGGGCGCCTCGAGAAGCTGGTGTCGCTTGATCTCTCCACCTTATACTTGGAGGAGCTCCCTAACTCCACTCTAAAGCTGCACGACCCCGACCTTGGAACCATCATTCGCAACCTCAGCAATCTGAAAGAACTCCTCTTGGATGGCGTTAACATCTCCGCCGATGGGTACGACTGGTGCCGGGCGGTGTCGGCTTCCACCCCGGGCCTTCAATTTCTAAGCTTGATGGGCTGTTCTCTCACCGGGCCGCTTCATTCTTCCCTCGCTGGCCTCCGGTCGCTGTCGAGACTCCGCCTGGATCAGAATAATTTGAACTCCAGTTTGCCCGAATTCTTCGGTAATTTTTCTTCTTTGATCGTGCTTCGCATGTCTTCCTGTCGGCTTCAGGGATCCATTCCCCAAGGCATATTTCGGCTTAGGAATCTGACAGTGCTTGATGTTTCTGATAATTCGATGCTTTCCGGACGTTTGCCCCATTTCCCCGAAGACTCTGCTCTGGAAAGCTTGGTTCTTTTCGATACGAACTTATCGGGGCCTTTACCTCCGTCGATCGGTAACCTCAAGGCTTTGTCAAGATTGCTGCTTTATTCTTGCAGCTTTTCCGGATCGATACCGCGTTCGATCGCAAATCTCACTCAGTTGGCTCACTTGGACCTTTCTTTCAATGGTTTCAGTGGTGAGATCCCTCCAGTGCGGCAATGGTCGAAGATTTCAGAGATAATTCTTACATCTAATAATCTGACAGGACCAATTCCTTCTTCCTTGGGCAACGAGGGGCTTCGCAATCTTACCAAGATCGATATGAGGAATAATTCTCTCTCTGGATCAATCCCTGCTTCGCTGTTTGCTCTGCCTTCTTTGCAGCTTCTGCAGCTCAGCCAGAATCAGTTCTCGGCTCAGTTGGAAGAGTTCTCGATCGCTTCTCCCTCCCTGAATACCGTTGATCTGAGTAATAATAAGCTGCAAGGGTCAATTCCGACCTCACTTATCAAGCTCTCGGGACTGAAAGTTCTTTCGCTTGCATCAAACAACTTCAGTGGCACGCTGGAAATAGATCGATTCCAGAACTTGAGAAATCTTTCTAATCTGGATCTCTCAAATAATATGTTGTCAGTAAGAGATGGGTCTAATAGTTCATGGTATGGTTCTTTCCCCAAGATCAGTACGCTGAAGTTGGCATCCTGCAACTTAGAAAAGATCCCTGCATTCTTGCGAAGCCAAGATCAGATCAGTTCACTGGACCTCTCCAACAACAGGATTCCTGGTGCCATTCCCAGGTGGATATGGAGCATCGGCAATGGAACATTTAATTACTTGAATCTCTCTTTTAACTTGTTTACCTCCGTAGAAAGACCACCACCAGATCTCAGCAATAGTTCTATGATGATTCTGGATCTCCATCACAACATGCTTCAAGGGCCCATCCCACTCCTTCCATTGAACACCATCATCTTGGACTACTCGCACAACAACTTCACGTCTTCCATCCCTGCAAGTTTCAGCACCTACCTTAACTACACCGTTCTCTTGTCACTCTCTAATAACAGTCTTACGGGCGAAATTCCATTTTCAATTTGTAGTGCAAGCTATCTCCAAGTCCTTGATCTTTCAGACAACAACTTGAGTGGTTCAATCCCATCGTGTCTTATGGAGAGCAGCATTGAATTAGGTGTACTAAATCTGAGGGGAAACCAGTTCCATGGAAGCATCCCTGAGAATATTAGTGAACTATGTGCACTCCGGACAATAAACCTCAACCAGAATCAGCTGGAAGGGAAGCTGCCTAGATCTTTGGCAAATTGTTATTTGTTAGAAGTCTTAGACCTTGGAAACAATCAATTTGTGGACACCTTCCCATACTGGCTGGGGAATCTTTCTGCACTGCGGGTTCTTGTTTTGAAGTCCAACAGATTCTACGGAGCCCCTGCACATCTTCCTGGAACCAAAGAAGGCAATTGCACCTTCTTGAATCTGCAAATCTTTGATTTGTCATCCAACCAGTTCACCGGAAATCTGCCAGAAAATTGCTTTAAGAATTTGAAAGCCATGATGTTTAGATCTGATGATGGCCTCCAAACAGTGGAATACAAATTCTTGCAATTTAGTAAGTCATCATATTATCAAAACACTGTTACAATCATGAGCAAAGGGCAGTCCATGACACTATTAAAGGTCTTGACCATCTTCAGAGCCATTGACCTTTCAAATAATATGTTCAATGGCAGCATTCCGGAGGTGATTGGTGAGTTAAATTTATTGTGTGTGCTAAACATTTCACACAATTCCCTGATAGGTGAAATCCCTCCACAGCTTGGAAACATGTTGCAGCTTGAGTCATTGGACTTGTCTTTGAACAACCTCTCGGGGAAGATCCCTCAAGCGTTAGCATCACTGACTTTTCTCTCCTTTTTAAACCTCTCGTACAATAATTTAGTTGGGCAGATTCCACAAGGCCCTCAATTTCAGACATTTTCAGACACCTCATTCGAAGGAAACAAAGGATTGTGTGGAACCCCATTCTTGAAGCAATGCAGAGAAGAAACTCACTCAGACTCCAAGTTATCATCCTCAGAGTCATCGACTGATCTAAATTGGCAATGCATAATCATAGGATTGGGGTTTGGAGGGGGTATGGCACTGTTTGTTGTGCCACTAATGATGTGGGATAAGGGCAAGAGATGGTACAATAAACACATCGACAAAATGCTTTGGGCCATCGTTCCAAGGTTGCCTTGTGAGACTTGTACAAATGTCAAGGTGGGAGCTGAGGATGTTAATTACGGCACGGTCGAGATCGAAGATGAAGGTCGAAGATTTTGCCTATTCTGTACTCAACTAGAGTTGCGTTCAGGACAGGCCATAATTCATCATGTGGAGTGCTCTTGTCATTACAGATTGGCAGATGAGTCCTGAGTTCCTGTTTATACGGAGGTTTTGATCCATCGATAGAGGTAAGTGAAGGTTGCACAGCTGTTAGTGTGAAGTTAGGCTTACGAGTGGAATCCACCATTATTTTTGGATTGCTTTCTGTACAGTAATCTGTGAAGGTTGCACAGATGTTAGTCCTGAGTTCTCGTCCTAAACTGTTGCTTTTGGGTTTTTATTTCCAGGACCACTTTTATCTCATAAACAACATGTTTGACGGGCTAGTTTGTGATCTTGATCTATTGCATCCAGGTTAGCTCCGGTGTTCCTTTCCATGACTTGGTCCTGTTATAACATTTGGATCAGACAACTGCATCAATTCATAATCTCTTTTTCCAGAGAGCTCGGTTGGAGGTCAGCAAATCCAGTTTAGATGAAACCAATCTTTCATTGTTAGAACCTTTAGAGGTCAGGCGATTGCTTCTTCTTTTAAAGTCCGATGGATTGGCAGCCAGATGATAGGAGTGGGTATTTAGGGATGACATAAGTTGACTAGATTTCCTCTAAGATCAATCGCGTAGTTTCCCAAGATTTTTCTACTCTTTCTTCTACCGCCCTGAGATTGCCAAATGGGATGAGCTCCAGAAGTGTTAGAAAGGTCACATTATCCTGATCTCGCCATAGTATGGTGGAGTTTTCGCTGATTCAGTTGGAAAGGAACCTCGTACCTCTCAGCAAAATTCATCTCTATTATATTTCCCGTCTTTTTCTTGTTTTCAGCAACATAAATAAACAGTATTCTATTTATTTTGCTGATGACTTCTACCTTACATCTTTTGCTTATATATATATATATATATATATATATATATATATATATATCCTTGGTAGCTGTGACATAGCTATTAGAAAAAAAATATTATTAAATAAATCATAATAAGATTAACATGATCTTTTTAATATTTTAATATTATATTATTATAATTTTAAATTATAAAAATTATGATAATATATTATCATGAATATATTAATAATGGAGAACATAGAAATAATTTAATGAATATTTTACTTTTAGTATTGATTAAAAAATTACATAATATCGAACTTTGTAATCTCTCTTTGTGTATATAAATTTATACTTAGTATCAATAAAATTTAGTTAGTCATTTATTCTCATGGTATCAAAGCCATAGTTGCTCCATGAAGTTTTTTCTTTCTTTGATCATTTCTTTGTTATTGTTATTTTGTACCTCCTTCATCGTGGTTGAAGATAGTATTAAAACTCTTTGCTATTATTGTTTTGTACCTTCTCCTGTAGAAGTTAGCATTAAAACTCTTTGTTACTATTGTAAGTTAGCATTACAATTTCTATTGGGCTTTATACTCTAGCGAGCCATTCTGTAATTTGTTTCAAGTCTTTTACTTCCAATTTTTAATATGATTGTTAATATATCGTCAACTAATCACTCATCTCATATCATTCTAAACTCCTTATTCTTAAAAACACTCGTCTCCATTGCAATCTAAGCTTCTCTTAAACTCATATCCACAAATTATACATCTTGGTATACTCAATATTATTATCTTTTAATTGATTATTATTTTATGAGTTATGTAGATGACACCATCACTTGTTTTCCACAAACGATTAGTACGAATAATTTTGAAGTTATTAATCCTAAATATATTTTTTTAATCCATCGAGATCATCTTTTTAGAAGTGTTATTATTACTTCTCTCTCCTCAAATCATTCCTTAATTAATCTCTAAAAAATTCTCTTATAAAGTGTGATCCAAGCTTACAACAATGCATGCCAACCAATCTCATGATGTCTCATGCAACTTTGAGAAACTCTCTTCAAACTTTCTATAGGCCCAAAATCTATTTCTAACTATATGCATGTTATTAAAACTCAAGTTGATGCACTTATTATGGTTGATGCATCTCTTGATAATAAAAAGATAATTTTTCATGTATTAAATGATTTTAGTTTAAATTACAAGGAGATCTTGATTGTGATTCATGCTCGTGATAGTCCTATATCTTTTAAAGAACCTCATAATAAGATTTTTGACTATGAAACTTATCTTAAGTGAGAGTCATAATTTGTTTTTATTACTATCAATCTTGCTAATAAAGTTAATTTTAACAATAAAGATAAGATCCACAACCAGGAAGACAACATGCAATAATCTCATAATAAAAGTATTAACAAATCTAGTTAATAATTTAACAACAAAGTCATATGTCAAATATGTGACTTGTAACACTATGTTGCTAAGAAATATCATCGCATGCAAGTTGTCATTCCATGGATGTTTTAGCTTTTATACCTATCTTATTATATATATCTTGCTATACCACCTACTCAGTTTTCATTACTACTATTGTATGATCATTTTACTACTTAATCTTTTCAACCTTCATCAAACTCGCTTGTTGATTCTAGGGCTTCTCATCATGTCACATTTGAGTTGAATAATTTGTCTCTTCGTTAAGATTATGGTGGTTTAGATGATGTCATAACAGGTGATGGTAAATGTCTTAAAATAACTTATATTGGTTTTACAAACCTTTTCTCTTCCTCAAATTTTTTTTTATTTTCTAATGTTCTTTGTGTGCTTCATACGAAGAAGAATCTAATATTTATCTTTAAATTATATTTTTTTAATAATATTTCTATTGAAATTTTACTCTATCTCAACATAGGGGCACATCTCATGGAGGAACGAGATATAGATGGAGTTTATGAGTGGCCAATTATTTCACTATAAATTATTTCACTATCAAGGCTCTATTTCAAGAATGACACAATCGCTTAGGGCATCATTCTTTTAAGGTTTTAAATTATATTATTTATTCTTACAATTACTTTTATCATTATCATCTTACTATCCCTTTTCGTGTAACTCATGCAAATGTAATAAAATACAGAAGCTTTCATTTTCTATATTATCTCTTATAAGTAATTCGCCTCTTGAACTTATATATTCTGATATTTGGGGTCCTTAACTAATTTAATCTCACGACTGATTTAACTACTATTTGATATTTGGGGTCCTTCACCAATTTACATGTGATTATTTCTCTATGAAGTAAAAATATGATATATCTATTATTTTTCTAAAGTTCAAGCTTATCGTTGAAAAGTTTTCTTAATGATTTATTATTTTATTTTACTCCGATAATGATGGTGTATTTCAAAAGCTTCGTAACTTTTTTTGAAACAAATGAAATCTCTCATTTTCTCACTCCTCCATGTACTTCTGAACATACTGGGATTGCAGAACGTCGTCATCAGCACATCGTCTAAATTAATCTTATACTCCTTACTCAAGCTTCCTTACCTCTTCAATTTTGGTTTTATATATTTGTTACATCAACTTACCTTATCAAATTGCACGCTCGCTTTAAACATGGTTTCACCATTTAAAAAACTATTTAGATCCACTCATAACTATAGTAAATTATATGTTTTTGGGTGTCTATATTATATATGGTTAAGAACTTACATACATAAAAAAAACTGAAAGCTAAACCAAAACCATATGTTTTTTTTTTTTTATATTTCACTAATCAAAGTGCCTTTAAATATTTTTATCCATCAACCAAAAGAATTTTCATTTCTCGTCATGTTGATTTTGTGAAATCTGTTTTTTCTTATAAATCACATGACTATCTTTTACTTGGGCCAACTTTCAATAACTTCATTGATTGGGTTTTCCAAATATATGAGTCACCTCATATGATCATTCTTGTTTAGGTACATCACCACTCACTAATCTAAATACTTTATCCACTTATATCCCACCATGTTCTTTCTCAATAGTGCGTGATGAACAATAGGTCATATCATCCATTCAGCTACCTCAACAAGAGAAATCATAGTAAGGTTTAGTTTTAATACTCATACTTTAAATTCTTCTCATCCAAATATGTCATAAAGAAGTCTTCCAATGATTACTAGATCTAAAAATCAAGTTTTTAAACTAAATAAATATTTTTTATTTTTATAAAATAATCTCAAAATTTTATTTTTGAGCCTTTTACTATTAACTAAGCCTTCAAAATTCTTGAATGGTGAGCAACAATGTTTAAAGAATATAATTCTTTGTTACATAATAGTATATAAGAATTAATCTCATCCTATGTAAGTAAAAACCTTGTAGGGTGTAAATAAGTTTTTGTATTAAACGAAACCTGATGGATCCATTAATAAGTATAAAGCAAGACTTATTACAAAGAGATTTTATCAATGTCTAAGCCTCGAGTACTATGATATATTTAGCCCAGTTGTAAAGACAACAACAATTCGTACTATTTTATGTCTTGCTTTGTCTAAGAATTGGGGACTTCGATAGTTGGACATGAATAATAAATTTCTTCGTGATCATATTTTCGGGGATATATTTATGAGACAACCGCTAGGCTTTAATGATCATAATCTTTCTCAACATGTTTGTAGATTATGCGATGCTCTTTATGATAGGTCCCTCATGCGTATCATGAACTTCAAACACATTTAGTCTCAATTGGATTTTATAATTCTCAATCTGCTAATTCATTATTCATTTATTCTCATGAAGGCATAATCATATTTTTACTAGTTTATGTGTATGAATTAATTATTATTAGTAATAAACCAGTAATAATTAATCTATTTTTTTTAATAGTTTGAAAATAAGTTTTTTTTATCAAAGTTCTTGGGTTCTTTAGTTATTTTCTTGGTATTCAAGTAATCTACATGGTAAATTGTTTATTTCTTTCTCAATAGAAGTGTATTCATGGCCTTTTAAATTGTACTAAAATAGTTGAAGCTAATACTATTATGATGCCAATATGTTCCTCTTACCCTATTTGATAATGCTAATCTCAACGACGCCACTGAATATTGTCAAGTTATCGACAATCTACGGTATTTGATATTTACTTATCCAAACATTACATATGTAATGAATTAATTATCTCAATTTATACACAAACTTACTTCCCATCATTGGACAAGTGTTAAAACATCTTCTTCGATATTTTAAGGGTACTATTGATCATGGCTTATTTTTTTTAAAAAGCTCTGGTATGTTGTTTCATTCATTTTTAGATGTTGATTACGCTAGTAATAAGGATGACATGACATCTATTAGTACTTATATCATATTTCTTGATCATAATCCAATTTCTTGGAATTTCAAGAAACAATGCTCTTTTGTAAAATCTTTTATGGAGGCTAAATATCGAGCTGTTATTCTACAACCGTTGAACTTTGTTTGATTCAATTATTGTTATATGAACTATTTATCATAATATCCGATCCTCTATCTATATATTGTAATAATATCAGGATAACATATCTATATATTAATCTTGTATTTTACTCTTGAATGAAGTACATAACTATTGACTTTCATTTTGTTAGTGATAAAGTTCAAAATGGTGAGCTACGTATCTCTCATATCTCATTTTCTGATCAGCTTGCATATGCTCTTACAAAGTATGTCTAGCTAATAATTTCTTCTATTTTGGTCCAAGATTGGTATCTCCGATGGGAGCACTATCTTACAGGGGGCATATTAAAAAAATATTATTAAGAAAAATAAATCATGATAAGATTATCATGATCATCTCAATATTTTGATATTATATTATCATTATTCTAAATCATAAAAATTATGATAATATGTTATCATGATTCTATCAATAATGTAGATAATAATCTCCACATGATCTTGGTCCATTGGTGTCTCTGATTAGAGCACCATCTTGTGGGGTCCATATTAGAAAAGATATTATTAAAAAAAAATAAATCATAAATTATCATAATCTTTTTAATATTTTAATATTATATTATTATAATTTTAAATCATAAAAATTATGATAACATGATGATTCTATCAGTAACATAGGTATTTCAATAATTTAATAAATATTTTATATTTATTATTAATTTTAAAAAAAAATTATATAATTATCATACCTTGTAATTCTATTTGTGTAGATAAATTCTATCAATAAAATTCAATTAATCTTTTTTTTTCTCGGTAGCTTCAATGATATATGACAACCGACGGCTAGCTTAGCGGTTGTCACAGAGTGTGTGGTCTAAGAACAAAGTCGTAGCAGGGATGTGATTGGTAACATGAAATATGCTAATTCACGAAAGAACCACATTGGGACGAAAGAGTGACATTAATTGGCTCCTTTAATTTTGAGGAACGAGGATCGTTTGATGGAATAAGCATGATATTGGTAGGATGCCACACTATCCCCTCTTCCTCTTCTGCACGTATCATCACTTTCAGAATCCACCAAAACAACAACAGTAAAATAAAAATAGAACGTTCCCCCCATCATTCCTCTCAGCTTTCTTTTTATATTAATTAAAAATAAAAGAGAAAAAAAGAGGAATTTCAATTAAAAAAAAAAAGGGGAAGTTGGAGAATTTTTATGGTCGTATTATTAACTCTCTCGCTTCCTCCCGTGAAAACAATCGTACGAGGTCGAAGAAAACACGCCCTTGTCGACCGTCCCATCGCGATCAGACGGCGTCAGGGTCGCAGCACCGCCGGCACCGGACGAGCCCGTTCTCGTTGCAGGCGGTGCACGTCCGGAATCCCCCGCCCGCACCGCCCTTGTCATGGTAGCACCGTCGGGACCCGCTGCAGCTCCTGCAGAGCACGAAGCGGACGTCGCCGCACCACTCGCACGCCCTTCCAGTCGCCTGCGCTGCCCCCTCCACGTACCGCCTCAGCTCCCCGGCCTCGTGGAGACGCCGTACGTCGTCGGCCCCGCCGACGTGCCGCCCCCCGATGAACAGCTGCGGAAGCCCGAGGTGCCACCGGCGGACGCCGAGAACGCCCTTCAGCTCCCGCAGGAACCCGGCGTCCATGGAGACGTCGCGCTCGTCGACGGCGACGCGTAGGCCGCATAGGATCGCCCGGACGGCGGCGCAATCCTCGAAGGTGTGGCGGACAGCGCGGAGGGAGGTGAAGTAGAGGACGACCCGCTTTTTCTCACCCGGTGGGAGGCCGAAGGGGTCCTCCGGCGGGGAGCACCACAAGCGAAGGGCGGAGGAGGCCGACCGAACGTGGTGGATCACCGGCGGAGGCGGCGGCGGTGGTGGGGGCCGCGGACCACGGGACGGGGATGCGGAGGCGTCGTGGGCATCGTACTCGTCGAGGAGAGAGAGGAGGTCCTTGAGGGAGGAGGATGAGCGGATGATGGACGAAGTGGGCGGCGGAAGCTGAGGCGGTGGCAAAGAGGAGGTGGCGGTGGTGGTGGCTCCGCCGCGTGGGAGTCGGTTTCCCCACGGCGCCCACATGAATTCGACGCACGGGAGTGAGGAAACAGAACAATGGAGAAGGAAGAACAAAGAGGTGGTATCCAATTGGGAAGTTGGAACGAGGGAAGGAGCGGAGAAGATGGGAGCGAGTTGGGAATCAATTCCTAAAGGTCCCAAAGAGAACAAGGGCTAAGTTTAGCACAGGAAGAGATAGAATGGAGTTCGGCTTGTATAGGGCCAAGAAAGACTTTACTTGGGCCGGGCCTAAATATAAACTTGCATGCCCAATTTGGGTTGGGTATGACAAAGCCCAAGAAAGACTTAACGACACGAATGAGCTTTCGTTTGCCGTACCCACTGCCGTTTCAGGAACAGCATCGCCCGTCCTACCCCGGCTTCTGCTTTGGGATCACGGAGGAAGCTGAATCTGTGGAGACGAGATACGGTACGGAGCTCAAACCCTAGCCCTAGATAATGGATCTTCACATCCTCCGGCTGCGGCCCCGGTTTCACAGATTGAATAGGGCGAGATCGGCTAGATGTCGGGTAGTGTCGACGCGGCGGGGGAGCCTATCCCGACGTCGGCCGTCCTCATGGCGGCTGCCAAGCATATCGCGACGGGGTGCCGGGCCGTGAACGTGGCCTTCATCAAGTGCGAGAAGAAGGATCCCAACCTGGAGAAATGCCTCGACAAGGGCCGCCATGTCACTAGCTGCGTCCTAAACGTGTAAGGATCTCGGTACATTTACCATAGTGATTTGGCTCTCTATTCTTTGAATCCCTAAGTGATTTTTGTTCTTTTAGTTTAGTCGATAGGTGATTTGTTCAAATGAATATGGATTTTTGCGTTCCTTGTTTGTGCTTCTTTCTTGATGATCAAATGGTGGCAGCCATAAATATTGGAAAATTTTGAATTTATTTTTTCGTTGGTATCCACAAGACGAAAGTAGGTTAAATTTGCCACCCTTAATTTATTTATATAATATCTAATAATTTCCAGTGTTATGCCTTCTTCTGCATCCTACAATATATTACTACACTTCTTTAGATAAACAAAACCATGATTTAGAGATGGTTTGATATTATTATAACAATGATTACAAAAAATACCACAATCATCACCACCATAAGAACCTAAATGCAATCAAGTAATCATGCTGATAATAAGGGTATTGCCCCTACTGAAGTAAAATGTGTAGAGAATAAACTGTTAGAAACATTCTGATCGTGTTTTTGGATCAGAATTAGTCCGTTCTTAATTTCTGTTATCCTATGATACACTGGGATCAGCAGGAAATCAGTCTAAACAATTTATATGAACAATCATGTGTTGTATCTGCCATGGCTGTGCTTTGCAAGGATGCACAATTGCATTATGTAGCTAGCACCACTCCTAATGTAGCAGCCTGTAGTCAAATTTCTTATTAGCTAATAAGAAAATGCAGATATATGGGAGCAAAACCTAGATAGAAAAATTACTAGTTGGCAAGCATATGTGGTGATGATATGTGTTTTGATGACTCCCAATTTTGATTTCAACTTCAAACGAGAATTGATAAATAAGCCGGGAACGAAGATCATTAGCTCTTTTGTTGAGAGAATCTGTCACATTTTACAAATGTTCTACATTAATGCAGATGCTAGAGATGGGAGATAATATAGCTGGTGGAATTGATTTAATGTAGCCTGGGCAAGAATATCACTCTTCATCAGGTAAAAACGGTGTCATCATGGATGCTTGCACAATATTAAATGATGATGACTACTAGAATAACCATCGTTGCTACAAGAGATTCTAGAGTACCATCTATTTTGTGCTATAATTAAAAGCTATTGTTCCTAATGGCGAAAATCCTTACTGGCTACAGAGAGTAGATACGTTGATGTACCCAAGAATAAATGTATAAATAAGGGGATGTTATCATGTACCCAAGCATCGCTTTCTGTGTGTTTTCACATAGATATTATTATACCTGGCAGTTGCTATATTTGCAAGTTTTACTGTCCTTTTGATTTTCCTTTCTATGTGTTTTAGAGGTGTGCTGGTTTAGTGAATAGTGTGAGATAATAACTTGAAACCACGACAGCATGATGTTAGACAGCAGAAGGGAGATACCGATGCAAGAGGCGAAGGGAGACATGAGAAAATAATTTTTGTATCCTGAGGTCCCACCATATGAGTAGTCATGAAATGCTCCTTTTTGTCATCCATGTAGTGGAGAGCTGTAAACTGCAGCTGAAAACTAGAAACTTACTGTCCGCCTCATCGATCTCAATGATCCGCAGAGCTGGTAGCACTTGGTCATTTGTATATGAGAATTTGTTGCCATCAGTTATGAAATATCAATCCACAATTTGAACTGCTTCAATTTGGATGGCACCTATTATTCTGTATGAACTATAGCAAATCTGTCAGCAAACATTTAGCTGTTCCTTTTAAGCATTAGAACTCCTAATGAGTATAATATCATTTTTTACATACTAATTATGATCTAGGAGTGTGTAATGATGGAATCAAATTCGTGTAATATTTCCTATATTTTTTTAACCATTAGAACTAGAAACTGTATTTCGTCTGAACTGTTTTCCTAGCAATTAAATTATCAATCAACTAGTGTTCCATTTCTTGCAGACTGAAGGAGCTCCACTAGAATTGCCCTAAAGAGATGGATGCATATGCGGGCTGCATGTATACTACACCAACGAGTTCGACCTGTGCCGTAAAGAGCAGGAAGCAATCGAGAAAGCTTGTCCGGTATCTGAGTAGCACCGGGAGATTGCCTCCCATCATCTTCAAGTAATTCACGAGAAACACAACTGTCTCAACATCAAATTTCTTGCTCACCAGGGTCTGTGCAGGACTTCGTTCTTAGAATTGCATTTCGGTTGAACTAATGATGCTCAAGAAACACTCGTCCGGTTTTATCAGGATAAATAAGCTATCAGAACAAATGCATTATATATAACTTATTCCGTCTCTTCACTTGTTACTGTAAGGTTTGGAGAATGATGCCGACCATTTGGCGGCTCGTGTGAATCTGATAATTTTATTGATAAGCATCTACTTACTGTCATGTGGTCGTGCAGATTTCGATGCTATCCTTGTCGACCTTTCAATTTCGACAAGAATTTGCCCCAATTACTTCTCAATTCAGAAGAATGCTCAGTTTTGGTACATGTATTTTTGAGGTACGGTGGCTTCCTGAACTGAACATATCTTTGTTATTTTGGATGTCCTAATGTTATCCAATTTATATAAGCAGCCTCAACTTATAAGAACAGCTCCTACAGGTTCTCCGTTGCATTGATGCTGTCCTGATGCGCGCAGCCAAAAGTTACATGAAGCAAAGCTGCTCACCATCAGCACGATGACACTGCTTTTAAGCAAGGAGCTCAGCTGAGCCTTGAAACTGGAACCAAGAAAAGGGAAGTCAAGAAGACACAAAGCTACCGCTGCCGTTCTGCCAAAAGACGATAGACCTCCGTCCCACGCCACTATGATCCTTTTCAGCAGAACTCAGGACTCGTAGCAACATCACTCCTCACAGGGTCTGCATTAGAGATCAAGCACCAAGCACCCCAAGCAAGCTACTTTCCATCAAAACTAGGTGCAAATAAAGGACCATAAGCAGTAACCACTGCAACTACATATGAGGAAGTCACCAAGAAGGAGAAGAATCGGATGATGAAGAAACGGAAACCCTACAAGTCTCTGCAGCACTCACTGAAGTTGCTGCCGACCGTAATCCGACAAAAGAAGCCGTGCGGCGCATCGGCGGGAGCTTTCTCATCGCGGTCAGTGCCGGGGAACACTCTGCTTCGTCTTCTTCGAACCTGGAATGCGAAGGTGAAGTGCCAGGCGTCTCGAACGGGGTGGTAAGACTACCGCCGACGCCATCGTAGATGGGATTCGAGATGCGAACAAAATGATCGGCAGATATTGAGTCACTTGAAGCCGAGGAAATGCGACGTATGCCGGGCGAAGACGTCGCCATCGAGAAATGGCAGTCCACCCGCTCAGATGTTGGCGGCATCGCCGCAGCTGCTTCCAGTTTGGGGATGCTGAGGAGGAAGCTCGTTGGGGCTTGGAGTACGCCAGGGAAGCCGAGGGTCGTCGAGAAGGGAGGCGGAGGCTCCATCTTTTCCGCTGCTGACGCCGCTGCGCTGCTTAAACCGGGGCTCGTCGTGGTTGTCGTCTCGCACCGGCGGCTTCGGCAACAGAGCAGGGAGCAGAAGAGGTCAACAAGAAGGACTAGTAGAAGAGTGAAGACCAGAGCAAGACTCACAGCCACGGTCAACGCTGCTCCCATCGCCAACTTGCTCGTGCCCCTCATCTCTTTTCTCCATGGGAAGGTAACGACGCATGCGTGAGCTAAATGGAGGCGCGTACTCCGCCGGGGTTCTTTTTGGCGGGAAGTCGTGGTTTTGGGTTGACCACAACGAAGGCGTCGGAGCTGAACCGTCATAGGATTCCGTTATCGCCGCGGTTTGTGACTGTTTGCATGCGTACCTGCATTCGGTACCGTCTCGTAAGCCGGAAAAGTTACGAGTTAGGTGAGGATCTCAGTGCACGGCCGAGTTTCTAGGCATATTAACGCAGTAGAGAGAGAGAGAGCGTCTCTTTAAAATAATGGATTACTAAAGCAAAAGCAATTTAATGGATAGATGTGATCTCAAAGTAGATTTATGTCTTCAATTACAGTGGCCACAAGCAAATGCTTGATAATGAAAGCAGGTGGTGGCATTTAAATTAATTTGTGATTGATGTATCTTATCTTACATAATAAAGAGAAAGTAGAGAACAAAAAATAAAATTTAAGTAGAAAAGTTTTAACTTTTTTTGTTGAAAAAAACAAATACTACACTGGAGATTTAAATGCAATATTCTAAAGATTTGATTGTAATTTTCATGGAACATATTGTAAATTGTTCATATTTTATTTATTATTCCTCATGAGACATAAATTTCCCGGAACTGATTGATAACTTTGATGAAACTCCTCTGTGTCATTACATATTTAATACATATTCCCTTTGACAATAATCTTTTTGTGTAATATCTGAGCTTTTAGAATTGGTTGCATACACCAATTCTTGGATGTTGTTGTGCTTTGCTCCACCACATGTGCATCACGACAGAACAAAACGAGCGGGCTCTGCGGCACGGCCCACGGCATCATCTTGTGTTGGATCCCTTTGTGGCGCCGCTAAAGACAAAACAATACTAGGAGAAATCCCATCAGAGAACCGAACGCGAGAAAGAGAGAGTTAAGAGTGAGAGGAAGCATCCTGATCTCCTGGTACTCGATCTCCTTCATCGAAGGACTCCAAGTGCTCAAAGTATTTAAAGCCTATAATTCGCATCCCTCTTCTCGTTCTCATGTGTTGTTAGCAATAATACAAGGCAGCAACAATTCAACGAGCGACACACATTTTAAGCGTTACTTCTCTTCAGATCCTTACTATATAACTCTCTTTTCCCAATCCATCTCAACAAACAAGTCATTCAACAAAGATTGATCTTCACGTAGAAGATGCATCCCGGTCGATATGAGTTATCCTTTTTCCTCCTCCTCCTCCATCTCTACTTTGCCGCCTTCATTTGCACCACAGGGGCATCATCACCATCTCTTTTTGATGCCAATCTTGAGCTCCCGAGAGGTTCCATTCCAGGCGTGTCACTAGAACACTTAGACCCCACCCTCCCCCCGGCCCTCCCCACCCAGACTCCGCACTGTTCCCTGGTCGTCCTCCAACAGAACTTCGTCGACACCGTCGGCGCGCCGCCGGCCTCCGCCAGCTATGCTCACCCCCCGGACTGCCCCTTCCCATGGACGCGGGTCGTCCTCGAGCTCAGCGTCGCCGCCACAGACCTCCAGGAGTCCCGAGTCGCTGCCATCTGGATCGACGGCGCTGAGGTCCTCCGCACCGCTACCCCCATCCCCATGGCTCGCGGCGCTTTCTGGCGCGTCCACAAGGACGTCACCCGCTACACGGCCCTCCTCCGCCGCCTGGCTGATGGCGGCGGCGTTATCTCCATGATGCTGGAGAACTCAAACAAGGTCCTTCCCGGCGTCTTCAGCGCCAACGTCTCCCTCCATTACTACCGCGGCCCGGTCGACGACGGAAGGTCGAAGTCAGTGTCTAATGCGGTGCACCCCTCCGTCAGATCCCTTTACCGCGAGCCCGCGGACCTCGTCCTCCCCATCTCCAAGCCCGACGGACAATATGGATCCGGCTTTTGGTATCGTATTGACAACGAGACAGGCATCGAGTCCACCACCGTCGCCATCCCCAGAAATACCTACCGCGCCGTCCTTGAGATCTTCGTGTCGTATCATGGCGAGGATGAATCATGGTATACTATGCCATTGAGAAATAACTATATTCACCAGTCAACTGCAGCCAAGGTTTCGGCACCGCGGGCCAACGGGGCGTTTCGGCAGGTCTACGCCACAATCGACAGGCGGTACGTAGGCGGGCACGTCCCCTTTCCGGTCATCTACTCGAGCGCCATCAACCCCGTCTTCTGGTCCCCGGTGGCGGCAATCGGCGCGTTCGACATGCCATCCTACGACCTCGACCTGACGCCGTTCCTGGCGCTGATGCTCGACGGGCGGCCCCACGAGATCGGGCTGGGTGTGCGCAGCGCCCTGCCACACTGGCTCGTGAACGCCAACCTCCACCTCTGGGTCGACTATTGGTCGGATACAGTGCAGGCCGGTCCGGTGGAGTACTTTGCCCCAACCATCCAGATGAACCGCAACGCCGAGTGGCGCAACCCCGATGGCCAGTCGGAGATCGGGGCCGAGGGGCACGAACGATTTTCCGGGTGGGTGAGCTGGTCGAGGGGCAACCTCACCACGGAGGTGCGGCATAAGATCAAGCTGAGGAGCCAGGTGCAGGTGCAGAACCGCGGGGCGGTGACCCAGATCGATTTCATCCTCAAAGAGAGGACGATGGTGACAGTGATGAGGCGAAACCAGTGGCTCGCCCGGGCGCAGGCGGTGCTGGATGCGCCCATGCAGGTGCAGACCGCGATCGTGAACGCGGCGGGCAGGCCGGCGATGAAGAAGACGCGGCTCTTCCACCAGCTGATGGAGGTGGTGAGCCTGAACGAGGGTCAGGCCGGGGCGACGACGACGACAGAGCTGACGGACCGGCAGGATGCGGAGGGATCGGCGCTTGTGGGCGGCAGATGGGGGAGCGGAAGCAGCCGGTCGTCGTACCAGTACAGGGACGGGAACAAGTGCTACTCCCGGAACGTGGCCACTGCTGGCGGAGCGGTCATCCAGGACAGGAAGGCCTCCTGCTTTGCCATGGCTGATGATGCCTGAGGACGTGAAACGCGTGCATGGCTGCTAACGCTTTGCTTAGTTAATTGGTTTCACAACAGTAGCCCGTTACGAGGATTAATAAGACATATATGTAGTAATCCTTCAATATCATACTTCTATCAATCACATAGCTTTGCACCTTAAAATATGTCAAATTAGGTTCATATGGTGAGTTAGCATAATAGTTTTTTTTTGTTGATTTGTTAATTGCAAGTTTACAAAAGATAAGTGTCTTTGGAAGACCTAAAAAGGCATCATGTCAATAAGCACAAACACTATTTATCTTCTCTCTTGTCCACTTTAAACAAAGGCATCATGCAAATATGTCTTCATGCAAAGAATGACTAATCAAATATATGCCCATTTGGGCTTCTCCTACCATAGCTACAATATATAGCTTTGTTGAGAATAGCCTTGTTGTAGTGACATGCATGCAGCCCATGTCTCTTCCACCTTATGATATTATTCATCAATAGTACCCAACTTATGAGCTATGATGTGATGCCCCAACACAATGAAAAAAATCAGAGACGGTATAATACTACTATAATCCTATAGATTTTTCTATATAAGAATAAAAGGTTAAAACATAGACAATTTATCGTATAATTTAATCAGTAATTTAACTCACTTATAAGATATTAATAACACAACTCAATCCATAATCAATCCACGCATATGACACATAATATATGTAACAATTTCTTAAAAATTCATAACATTCTAATTTAAATAATGTACGTACAAAATAATGTCAATACATACTAATCTCAATAGATTAATTATGTAATTTAATCAGTACTCGATTCATCATGCTTTTGTTATATAACTCTAAAAAATCGAGAGAATATATAAGCAAACCATAATTCAATGATTATTGTGACTCAAAGCCTTACCATAAATAAATATTTTCTTAAAAACATATGAATTTCTTATGCATTCAATATAAGCATAG